TAGTTTGCAAAGTAAAGTTTTTGGGTTCTCTGACGCTGCGCTCCTGTGACTGCAGGGTGCCACGTGAGGCTGCGAGTCGCCCCAGGAGGGGGTTAAAACTCACGCATCCCGGATTCCGGATTTCGAAAAACAACGTGCTGGGAGTGCAAGCGTTGGTCCTGCTTCTGTGCAAATTAGGGCACACTTGGGTGGTAGGGAGTGCAGAACACGAGCGCTTTGAACGCCCTGTGTGTCCCCAAGCCTGGATTTGACCCCAAGGCATTTGCTGCCTTAGTTTTAGAGATAGTTTTAAGAGAGGACATGCGAGATAAAGTTGCGCGCTCCCCTCTCAGTCCTGTTTCCCTGCCTGCCAGACCCACATTGAAAAACCGAGACCTTCGGAGTTGAAAACTGGGCTTGTGCAGTGAAAGGAACTTCTGATTTTCGGATTGAGTTTCCACCTGGAAAGGAAAAGTTTAGTAACTCACTTTGTGCCAGAAATCGCCGTCCGGGTTTGCTAGCGTCGTTCTGCCAATTCGAGTTGAGTACTGGGTCCCAATGACTTTAGATCCAGTTTCCTGAACCATGAATTGGTATTTTGGAAAAAGTTTTAAACGTTTAAAGTGTTTCTAATGGATATTGTGTCAGACTGAAATACGAGTTCCGACTCCGTGTTCCTCCGTGTTGTTTGATTGGTTTCCTAAAAAAGAGTCCAGGCTGCCACTATGAAAGCAAAAAGGCAAGGGCCACAGACTTGTCTATGAAACAAACTGAAAAAAAAATTAAAAATTTAACGCAAATCCAGCAGGCGTCTGTAAGGGTAAGATGAGTGTACATATTATTTACACCTTTAAATCTTCATTTCTACTTTTTGTACTGGACAATATTTAACAGAAAAAATCTGCTTATTATTGTTTACAGAGGCATGAAGATAGGGACTTTTATTTTATTTATTTATTTATTTATTTATTTATTTATTTATTTTTTACTCCCTTACCATTTGGTGGTGGCAGCAGTTGTTGCTTATTTCCTGGCCAGATGCTTTGAAGTGGAAATTTTGGGTATGGGACTTTAATTACAGTCTGAGTCTAGTGGAGCAAACCCCAGACTTGGAGAAGTCCCTTGTTAACGCAGCAAAAATTAGTCATCATGCAGTGGCTTTGATAAACATTTAGGTTCTGGGTCAGCGAATGGCGCTGCACTGGATTCATGTTAAAGTCCATTTTTGGGGAAATGTCAACAATTCCAGCTGGAATTGATCAGCTACTTGTAAATTGTTGATTTTGTTTGCAGAAGACAAATAGGCAATATTGTTGAAAATCACTTTTTTGGCATATTATCAATGAAATTATTTCACTGAATTTTTCATGAGCTGATTAAAATTTAAGTGCCTTTGAAATGTCATTTTACTTTAGCTTTTTTTTTTTTTTTGCACCTAAAATCTCTTTAGACGAAAATAAAATGAATAAAATTTGGATAGTGAATGGAAAGAAGTGATTTATTTAAGGCTCAATTAAAGCTTATGGTTTGGATGGAGTCCATTCAAGGTATTTCAGGCCTGGTTGCGGTTTTGCGGACCAGTCCCTCACTTTACTAGATGAGAAATCAGAGTCACTACTTTTTCACGGTGTGAGTGACATATCCATGTTTGCACAGTAATTTGATAGCTGGGTCCTCATCCCAGATTCTTGACCTGCAATTCAGACACTTTCTCATCTTTCCCCCTGGTGGCCTCTTTCCTAGTTCAATGTAGTTTTGAGCAACTTCTTGCTAGAAAGTAGCACGTTGAAGTTTGGGCTGCTGCAAATGACAACAAACTTGGCTTGAAACAGTTTTATTCTCCCACAGTTCTGGAGTCCAGAGTCAGAAATGAAGGTGCTAGCCTGGTCCTGCTACCTTTGAAATTTTTAGTGGGAGAATCTTCGTTGCTTCTTTCAGCTATGTTCGTAGGATTTGTGGTACTCTGAGTGCTGATTCTATGTTGTCTTCACATGGTCTCCTTTTTTCTTCCCTCCCCACTTTCTTTTTCTTTCTTCCAGATTGAATCCAGGGCTTTCACACGGAGGTACCTTCCCAGCTCTTTTTAATTTTTATTTTTAAACACAATCTTACTAAGTTGCCCAGACTGGGCTCCAACTTGGTATCCTCCTGTCTCAGCCTCCCAGAGTAGTGGGACTACAGGTGTATGCCTCCACACTTGGCTCCTGTAGCCTATTTTCCTGTCTTTTGTGAGATCGTTTTTTAAGAACAGCAGTCATTGAATTTAAGGTCCACTTTAAGTCCCAGGCGATTCATCTCAAGCTCTTTTACTTAAAGACCCTATTTCCAGATAAAGTTACATGGAAAGGTTAAATGAGCTGGACTTGGACATACTGCCTATCTTTGTTGGGAGTCACTATGCAACTCGTTACAGAACAGAAATGACACGATCAGCCAAAGGGTATAGCTCAGAGGTAGTTTGCTTCCTGTGTTTGGTGCCCTAGGTTCATTCCTAGCACTGCAACTAGAAAAAACTGTTATCTTTCTTGTTCATGAACTGGTAGTGTTTGGGAAAGAAAATCCATAAAGTCTCAGAAGAGTGTGGTAAATGCTCTAATCCTGGCTTACACATGTAGCAAAATGAACCTAGAGGAGGTCAACCGAGGCCCTTCTGGAGCACAGTTGGTGAAATTGAGCCAATGCTGGCAAAGGAGAAAGATAACTGAAGGGGACAGGGGACCTGGACAGGAACTGAAGGGGTTGCAGGTGGGAGGGGGCAGCTGCATGTCCAGGCTTGCACAGGGAAGTTTTCTGTTGAGATGTCCCATCCATGGGGTCACTAGGTTGGCAAGAGCCAGTATTCAGAGCCTAGAGGGTCCCAGGAGAAGCTGTAGGGTGCAATTTAGGGATGAGCAGGATCCCTGGTGTGAGTTTTTAATTCCTTAGGTGTGACCAAGAATTTTTAATGATTGTTGCTCAGATAGGCTAATCGGTGGGGGTTGGGAGGGTGGCCAGGACAGCTTTTTTAAAAAAACAAATGAAAAATAAGGCTTTCTTTGGTCGCCGTACCCATCTTCACCGTAGTCTGAAGTTCAGACCTTTCTACTGTCTTGATGAACAACACTCATTTCTATAGATGGGTTTACCAGGCAAAATCTGGCAGAAATCCTTGGCTTCAACACGCCAATCTCTTAGGCAGACGTACACTGGAGGAGTTAATTGATTTGTTAATTCAACCTACATATTGAACAAAAATTCACACAAATTTAATATTTGTGTAGGCAATATAAATTACTTGCCATATTCCTATGTTTTGCATCAGATGTTGCTCAATATTTTAACTTTAAGAAATTCTAAGGATTCCATTGCCAGAAAGTTTTAAGGGTGTGGCCCTGTGTCTTCCTCGTGATGCTACATGGTAATTCTAGACAAATAAAAATTATTTGTGGTTCATCAAGGAATCTGGAGATGAAATCCAGGTTTTTCTCAGACTGACAAAATAATGTATGAGCTTTGGTTTTTCTTTATAAAATGTTAATGTGTGTTTCCTATCAGAGAACTGATACTCATTTGGAAATCTCAGTGTGGCCCGGTACCAGGTACAGGAAAAGGAATGCTTAAATTATCTAGAAACTGAAGCCTCCTTGGGGAGAAAGGATTTGCACCGTAGGAGGCAGACATTTAGGGAGCAATTAAAGAATGTCTGTAATTAAATAGTAAATCCTGCATTGCAGACTGGTTGAGTGTTTTAGGAAGCCTGAAAAGGAGAGACCTTGGTATCGATGTGGAGTCCTTGGGAAGTTTTTTATTTTCCCAGAGAAGTAAGGACTTGAATGTGAACTGAAAGGAAGGGAAAACTGAACTAGGAACAGAGGTGCTGGAGCAGGAAACTGTTAGGCCACTGGCGCTGATGTGGACACGGCTCTGGGACGAGTAGCTTGCATATGATATTTCAGACATAGTGCTGGATGGGGTTTGTTGGAGGACACTGTGTGGAGGGGAAGGAGCGCAGTTGGTGAAATTGAGCCAGTGCTGGCTAAGGAGAAAGATAACTGAGTGCAGCCAAAGCACCCTACAGCAAGGAGCAGCCTGAAAGGAGATCTAGGAGGAACAGCTGCTGAGGTCCGGGGAGCCGAAAAAAGTAAACATATCAGGACAGACATGGCTGCCTAGCGGAGAGGTGAGGAGAGATCAGGCACAGAGAGACCATGAAATGGACCACTGGCTTTGACAACCTAGAGATTTGGTGCCTACAAGGAGCAGCACTGGTATAGTTCAGGCAAAAGAAGCCAGCTTGGGGGCTTGAACGGGGAAGGGGTGGGGATCCAGCAGCACTGGATGAGGCAGAAGTTTGGTGTGAAAGAGCCAGACCTACGCAGTGTTGAGTGAGGGTTAGGATTTGCTGAGGAATGGGAGAGTGCCTCTGAGTGAAATCAGGGATGGGGGCCGGGGATTTAGTTCAGTGGCACCATGCCTACCTCAAGCGCAAGGTCCTGAGTTTGATCCCTGGTACCAAAAAAAAAAAAAAAAAAAAAAA